CACTTTAACCCAGGGGGTGGAGGCTACAGTGAGCCGAGATCATACCACTGCACACCAGCCTGGGCAAGACAGAGCGAGACTCCATTTCAAAAAACAAACATTGTGTAATGAGAAGGAGAATAACAAAAAAAGAGAGAGAGAAACAAATGACAACAACAAAACCTCATCCCGAGCCAGACTGTGAAAGGATTACAGAAGGACGGGGTCAAATCTGGTAAAATATTTGTTCTTTATAACCCTGCACAGAGACAGGCAGGAAGCATATGAGCAGAGCGCCCTCTTTTTTTTTTTTTTTTGAGATGGAGTTTCGCTCTTGTTACCCAGGCTGGAGTGCAATGGCACGATCTCGGCTCACCGCAACCTCCGCCTCCTGGGTTCAGGCAATTCTCCTGCCTCAGCCTTCCGAGTAGCTGGGACTACAGGTGCGCGCCACCATGCCCAGCTAATTTTTGTATTTTCAGTAGAGACGGGGTTTCACCATGTTGACCAGGATGGTTTCGATCTTGTGACCTTGTGATCCACCCGCCTCGGCCTCCCAAAGTGCTGGGATTATAGGCGTGAGCCACCACGCCCGGCCAGAACGCCCTCTTAATTGGAAGGGCATATCTGCTTTTAACCACTGACTGTATTTCTTTAGGATGCAACCGAGAAAATAAATGAGATGCAGATTTTCTCATTCTCATTTCTGAATCATGTGCACAAATATGCACATTCACACGTCCTCATCCACCTTTGCCAACTTGTTGGAGAAAGATGAGTGACCACACAGGCATACTTCTAAATCATCCAAGAGGATTGCAAATATCTGAGGAAACAGTTCTGGTTTTGGTACTAAACTATTTTCTCTGGGAAAATATCTATCTAGTTTTACAGTTGCCATAGGCCAAAATATTGCTAGCAGAGTAATTTAAAAATACTTATGTCAAGCAAACTTAATTTAGAATTTTTCTTTTTTTTGGGGACAGAGTCTTGCTCTGTCACCCAAGCTAGAGTGCAGTGGCATAATCTTGGTTCACTGCAACCTCCGCCTCCCAGGTTAAACTGATTCTCCTGCCTCAGACTCCCAGGTAGCTGGGATTACAGGCACCCACCACCACCCCTGGCTAATTTTTGTATTTTTATTAGAGACAGGGTTTCATCATGTTGGCCAGGATGGTCTCAATTTCTGACTTTGTGATCTGCCTGCCTCGGCCTCCCGAAGGGCTGGGATTACAGGCCTGAGCCACTGTGTCTGGCCTAGAACAAATATTTTTAAACCTGTGTTTGTTGCACCAGCTGCAGCTGAGAAAACTTGAGGGCTTGTTAAAAATGCAGATTCCAGACCAGGCACAGAGGTATGCACCTGTAAGTTCCAGATAGAGACAGAGTCAGAAAATTTTTGAGACAGGGTCTTGTTCAGCCAGGCTGAAGTGCAATGGCTACTCAGAGACACAGTCATAGCTCACTGCAGACTCCAACTCCTGGGCTCAACTGGTCCTCTTGCCTCAGCCTCCTAAAGTGCTGGGATTACAGGTGTGAGCCCCCAGGACCAACCAAAAAATTGTTGAAGGTGTAGATTCCAGGATCTCACCCCAGACCTACTAAGTTTGGATTTTTGCAAGTGGAGCCTGCATTTTAAACAAACCCTCAGGGGATTCTAGCGTACTTTCGAGTGTTAGCCATTGCTTTGTTCACTGGCAAGACTGTGGCAAACATTCCTAACATGATTTCACAAAGATTAGAAAAGAAAACAAAGATCTCTGAAACTGAATGACTTGCATCCTCGGGATTTCTGAGGCCCATTTTAATACTTGTTAATTCTTGCACTGCAATAAGAAGGGAAAAACAAAATGTCCATATATTTGAGTTTAATAATTTCTGCTGGCTGGGCTTGGTGGCTCACGCCTATAATCCCAGCACTTTGGGAGGCCGAGGCGGGTGGATCATGAGGTCAAGAGATCGAGACCATCCTGGTCAACATGGTGAAACCCCGTCTTTACTAAAAATACAAAAAAATTAGCTGGGCATGGTGGCGCGTGCCTGTAATCCCAGCTACTCGGGAGGCTGAGACAGGAGAATTGCTTGAACCCAGGAGGCGGAGGTTGCGGTGAGCCGAGATCATGCCATTGCACTCCAGCCTGGGTAACAAGAGCGAAACTCCATCTCAAAAAAAAAATATTTCTGCTACCCAGTGAATATTACTCAACACTCTCCCTAATGAAAGTTCCAAGTTTATGGTTTCCTAGACACTGAGAAGACTAGATTTAGCTTACAGCTGTACTGTTTTTTCTTTCTAGCTACAGAAGTTTATTCTTATGTGTCTCCGTCTGCTGACATTCTATCATGCAACGGTGACAGTCTTCTAGAATCAAACAAGACTTTACGTCTGAGAAGATGCTAAGGAAAAGGAAGGTCATAAAAAAATTAAGTTGCCATTTTTTTAATCTTTATAAATGGAGATATATAATGAAAGACTACCACAAGCCATCTCAGGTTTCTGTGTTAGGGTTAGCCCCAACTCACTTAAGATACCTCTAAATTTATGTTTTTTTTTTTTTTAAGACGGAATCTCACTTTGTTGCCCAGGCTGGAGTGCAGTGGCACAATCTTGGCTCACTGCAACCTCTGCCTCCCAGGTTCAAGAGATTCTCCTGCCACTGCACTCCAGCCTGGCAACAGAGTGAGACTCCATCTGAAAAAAAAAAGAGATTCTCCTGCCTTAGCCTCTTGAGTAGCTGGGATTACAGACGCATGCCACCACATCCTGCTAATTTTGTGTTTTTAGTAGAGACGGGTTTTCACCATGTTGGCCAGGCTGGTCTTGAACTCCTAACCTCAGGTAATCCACACGCCTCGGCCTTCCAAAGTGCTGGGATTACAGGCATGAGCCATCGCACCTGGCCATTTATGCTCATTTTTTATATTTAAAAGTGATAATAAACATATACTTTTAAATGTTGACTTCTATGTTAAAAATACCATCATTGGTATGATTTTAACTTCCTAGAAAATCAACTTCAGACCGGGTGTGGTGACTCATGCCTGTAATCCCAGCACTTTGGGAGGCAAAGGCGGGCAGATCATGAGGTCAGGAGATGGAGACTATCCCAGTCAACATGGTGAAACCCTGTCTCTACTAAAAATACAAAAAATTAGCTGGGCATGGTGGCGCGTGCCTGTAATCCCAGCTACTCAGGAGGCTAAGGCAGGAGAATTGCCTGAACCCAGGAGACAGAGGTTGCAGTGAGCCGAGATCATGGCACTCCAGCCTGGGCAACAAGAGAGAAACTCCGTCTCAAAAAAAGAAGAAAATCAACTTCAAAACCATATATAAAAAAAAACCTTAAAATAAATAAATAAATGAAACTTTATTTATAGGCCAGAAATCCTAATACTATTTTTCTATTTCCCTTCTAAACTTCATCTAAAAACGCATGATTTTAACATAGTTGTAATTATAGTTTACCAGCAAATTTAAGTTCTACTTTTTCTTTTTTTCATATTTCAAAAATTTATCTCAAACTGTACATAATGGAGTAAAAACTTAAGTTGAAAATGTACCTGTTATAAGGATGGTATTAGTTCAAATATATACATGGATTCTCGGCAGACTGATTCAAATAATACAGAGCCGAATCTTTTAAAATACAGCTACGGAAAATAAAGGGGAAAAAACCTTAAAATATCACAATAAATAAGTTCTACTTTTTCTACTTTGCATTACTTTAAAAATGTTTGCTTGCCGGGCACGGTGGCTCAAGCCTGTAATCCCAGCACTTTGGGAGGCCGAGGCAAGTGGATCACGAGGTCAAGAGATCGAGACCATCCTGATCAACATGGTGAAACCCCGTCTCTACTGAAAATGCAAAAAATTAGCTAGGCATGGTGGCGCGTGCCTGTAATCCCAGCTACTCAGGAGGCTGAGGCAGGAGAATTGCCTGAACCCAGGGGGCGGAGGTTGCGGTGAGCCGAGATCCTGCCATTGCACTCCAGCCTGGGTACCGAGAGCGAAACTCCGTCTCAAAAAAAAAAAAAAAGTTTGCTTATTTCTTCATAGCATCAGAATTAATTTAAAGGCTACTTAAACAAAAAATTATGACGGTTGACATACCATCTTTCATCCATTCCTGTATGTAGAAACATTTCGGTTATATCTAGTTTCAAATTATTACAAGTAATACAATTAGACTTATCTGAATAGGAGGCTTTTTCCTTTTAAATGTTATTAATTTGTTCTAAGTTCCCAGCAATGGTTTTACTAGCTTAAAGCTCGTGGACAATTTTCCAGGTCTTAATATGTAACATATTTACCCTTTGCCCTTCAAAAAAATTACACCAGCCTTCATTATCACAGCTATTCTGTGATATGAAACAAAACTGAATTCCTAAAAAGGTTGCAAAGTGTTGACTTTTATTTTTTTAAGCATTTCACTTTATTTTTGTTACATTATCAGGTACATTAAGGTTTTAATTTTGATTTCTTCATTATGATCAATAATTTTTGAGTTATAAGTATGCTAGGAACCATTCCAAGGAGTTTATCTATATAAAATTATATTTTCTCTAAGAATAGTTTAAATAAACTCTCAATGCATGAAAATATAAAAACCAACCCTCAATATATTAAATATATCATTAAGATAAATTTTTATATTTTCAGATAACAAATCATCTCATTTCACAGAGGTAGAAAGGCACAGATAATTAGGCCAAGAAAAAAAATAAGACTTCTAGATTTTTCAACATATCCGATTCTTGTACATAAAAAGAAATTAATTCAAAGAAGTAATAGCTTCTTTTGTTATTGAGAATTTTTTTTTTTAGGATTAGAAAGTTTATTTAACCTATATCTCTTTTTTTTTTTTAAGGAAAGGAAATAATATTGGCTTTCCATATCGTTTTCCTTAAAAACAACTCTATGGAACTTAAAACGTTCACTGAAGGAAGTGGAATGATGAGATGCAAAATGACAACACAACTTTTTTTAAGCAGTTAAGAAAAGCAATTAATAAATGACCTACCTGCTCTTGCCAAGCACATAAAACTGATAAATACGTAGAATCTCAACATGGAAACTGGAGAGATCGTGTGTCACATTCACAAGAATAATTTACTTCGAAGAGGCTTAAGAGTTTCCCCTGTGGGTTTTGCTCACAGCAAGCTCAGACGACTCATTCAGAGGTGTGGTGACAACAGGAAGTTCCCTAGGGACTGACAGCAGGAGGTCCCAACCCTTTGAGGATCTTTGTTTGACTCCTCCTCTTTTCAATGAAAGGTCAGTTACTACCTACACAATTTTATGTGTGTCATAATATTATAATCTGCATTTGCTGAATGACGAGTTCAGAATAGTTTCGTTCTTTGTGGGCGTTTATAAGTTGTTTGGCTTGGTGGCTTGGTGTGTTGAAATCAAGTGTGATTGAGATATTTTCCCCTCTGGTTCTTGTGAATGAAATAACAAATCCAGTTGGTAGTCTATTGGCCTATATATACAAAACCAGTTTTTAAATTAATTCATACACTCATTCATCATAGGGGAGTCTTTAGATTTTATTAAGAACATTCATTAAGTTCAATTATATATCTACATTTGCCAAAACATATGTATGCTTCAGATTAAAGGAAACTTTTTTTGGCACTATATCTCTTTATTTTTATTTCTTTCTATTTAGAATTTCTGCCTCTCCAATAGTTCTTTTTTAAAAAGGAAAAATAGGCCTGCATGGTGGCTTACGTATGTCATCCCAGCACTTTGGAAGGCTGAGGTAATGGATTGCTTAAGGGCATGAGTTAGAGACCAGCCTAGCCAATATGGTGAAACCCTGTTTCTACTAAAATGATAAAAATTAGCTAGGTGTGGTGAAATGCACCTGTAATCTCAGCTACCTCAGGAGACTGAAGCACAAGAATTGCTTGAACCAGGGAGGCAGAGGTTGCAATGAGCCTAGATCACATCACTGCACTTCAGACTGGGCAACAGAGTGAGTGTCTCAAAAAAATAAATACATAAATAAAAAGGAAAAATAAAGACTGGGCGAGGTGGCTGACACCTGTAATCCCAGCACTTTCGGAGGCTGAGACGGGCGCATCACAAGGTCAGGAGTTTGAGACCAGCCTGGCCAACATAGTAAAATCCTGTCTCTTAAAAATACAAAAATTAGCTGAGCATGGTATAGCACGTAGTCCCAGCTCGGGAGGCTGAGGCAGGAGAATCGCTTCAACCTGGGAGGTAGAGGTTGTGGTGAGCCAAGATTGCGCCACTGCACTCCAGCCTGGGCAACAGAGCAAGACTCCGTCTCAAAAAGAAAAAAAAGAAAGAAAGAAAGAAAGAAAGAAAGAAAGAAAGAAAGAAAGAAAGAAAGAAAGAAAGAAAGAAAGAAAGAAAGAAAGAAAAAATAAATGAAAAACTTTTATTATTTATTTATTTATTTATTTTGAGACGGAGTTTCGCTGTTGTTACTCAGACTGGAGTGCAATGGCACGATCTCAGCTCACTGCAACCTCCGCCTTCCGAGTTCAAGCAATTCTCCTGCCTCAGCCTCCCAAGTAGCTGGGACTACAGGCGTGCACCTGTATTTTTGTATTTTTAGTAGAGACGGGGTTTCACCTTGTTGACCAGGATGGTCACGATCTCTTGACCTCATGATCCACCCGCCTCGGCCTCCCAAAGTGCTGGGATTATAGGCAAGAGCCACCAGAAAAAGTTTTAAGTAGAGAGCCATGCCAGAATCTACCTACCTCAGTGTTAGAGGTAACTAAACTTGTGCTGCGTAACGAGGTAATTTAATTCCCTTTCTGGTGAGAGTGCTTGCCACACTAACTCAGGCTTCTGGTGGTCTGATGAGCTTAAAAATAAATTAATATGCTGGGTTCAGTGGCTCATGCTTGTAATCTTAGCACTTTGGGAGGCTGAGAGGGGTGGATCACTTGAGCCTAGGAGTTCCAGTCCAGCCTGGGCAACATAGCAAAAAAACATCTCTGCAAAAAATACAAAAATTCTTTAGCATGCCTGTGGTCCCAGCTACTCAGGAGGCTGAGGTGGAAGGATCACCTGAACCTGGGAGGCAGGAGGTCGTGTGAGCCAAAATCATGCCACTGTACTCCAACCTAAGTGAGAGAGTGAGACTTTGTCTCTAAATAAATAAATAATAAAGACACAAGATGACATTTCACCCAAAGCATCAGGCAAAAGCAATTAGTCATTTAGCACTGTTTACCTACGTATGGGTTTATGAAGTAATCGTACCACTCATATAAGTGTATCTATTAGTTCTCTTCATGTTCCCACCCCATTTAAATAGCAGGAGATTCCTTTGCTGGAAGTAGATTCTAGCAATGCTTCCCAAGGAGTAAGTCAGAATCACCTGGGAGCTTTTAAAAGTACTGTGAGGCGGGCATAGTGGCTCACACCTGTAATCCCAGCATTTTGGGAGGCTCAGGCAGGCGGATTGCTTAAGGGCATGAGTTAGAGAACAGCCTAGCCAATATGGTGAAACCCTGTCTCTACTAAAATGACAAAAATTAGCTAGCTGTGGTGAAATGCACCTGTAATCTCAGCTATCTCAGGAGACTGAAGCACAAGAATTGCTTGAACCGAGAGGCAGAGGTTGCAATGAGCCTAGATCGCTCACACCTGTAATTCCAGCACTTTGGGAGGCTGAGGCAGGAAGATCACCTGAGGTCGGGAGTTCAAGATCAGCCTGACCAAGAAAAAGCCCTGTCTCTATTAAAAACACAAAACTCACTGGGAATGGTGGCACATGCCTGTAATCCCAACTACTCGGGAGGCTGAGGCAGGAGAATCACAGTGGAGGCAGAGGTTGCAGTGACCTGAGATCACGCCATTGCACTCCAGCGTGGGCAACAAGAGTGAAACTTCGACTAAAAAAAAAAACTGTGTGCAGATTTCTGTGTCACATTTCAGACCTAATGAAATGCCAAGACTAACTAGGGCTGATCTATTATACTAACCTTGGTTCGAATCCCTTGTCTTCCACTAGCTTAGTTGTGTAGACTTACACAAAACATTTACTTTTTTCTTTTTTTCAAACAGAGCCTCACTCTACCACCCAGGCTGCTGGAGTGCAGTGGTGCAAGCTCACTATAACCTCAAACTCCTAGGCTCAAGTGACCCCTGCCTCAGCCTCCCTGGAACTATAGGCGTATGCCACCACGCCCAGCTAATTTTTTTTTTAACTGTAGTGACGGGATACTAGCTACATCCCAAAGGGTTGGGATTACAGGTGTGAACCACCGTGCCTGACTCAACATTTAGGTTCTTTCTTTCTTTTTTTTTTTTTAAGAGACAGGGTTTCACTATATAGGTCAGGCTGGTCTTGAACTCTGAACCTCAGGTGATCCGCCCGCCTCAGCCTCCCAAAGTGCTGGGATTACAGGTGTGAGCCACTGCGCCCGGCCCAACATTTAGGTTCTTAAAGTCTGTTTTCTTAACTGTAAAATGAAGATAATAAAATCACACATTTCACAGGGTTGTTACAGGGACTAAATGAGATATTACAGCTGAAGTTAGCACTGTGCTAAGGTAAGTGCTCTGGTGACTTGCTAACTACTGTTATTATCTAACTGGCCACACATCTGCATGTTTCTTTCCCAGCAGAAGGCAGGCTGCACAATGTGGACAGGAGAGACCCAGATGGGATTTTTAGGACTGGAGGGCACCCTAAGTCTTGATGCTGCAGATGAGAGACCTCGGTCATCACTTCAGTCTGTTTTTGGTTTTGGTTTTGTATCCTGCTTAGAGAAATAAATTAAGGAACTGTGAATAAAAAAACCCAAATAGGCAGGGCGTGATGGCTCACACCTGTAATCCCAGCACTTTAGGAAGCCAAGGCAGGCGGATCACCTGAGGTCAGGAGTTCGAGACCATCCTGGCCAACATGGTGAAACCTTACCTCTATTAAAAATACAAAAGTTAGCCAGGCATGGTGGCACATGCTGTAATCCCAGCTACTTGGAAGGCTGAGGCAGGAGAATCACTTGAATCTGGGAGGTGGAGGTTGCAGTGAGCTGAGATCGGGCCACTACATTTCAGCCTGGGTGACAGGGTGAGACTCTGTCTCAAAAAAAAAAAAAAGAAGCCAGGCACAGTGGCTTACACCTGTAATCCTAGCACTTTGGGAGGCTGAGTCAGGTGGATCATTTGAGGTCGGGAGCTCGAGACCAGCCTTGACCAACATGGAGAAACCCTGTCTCTACTAAAAAAAAAAAAAAAAAAAGGCAAAATTAGCCAGGCATGGTGGCACGTGCCTGTAATCTCAGCTACCCGGGAAACTGAGGCAGGAGAATGGCTTGAACCTGGGAGGCAGTGGTTGCAGTAAGCTGAGAGCATGTCATTGCACTCTAGCTTGTGCAACAAGAACAAAACTCCATCTCAAAAGAAAAGAAAAACCAAATAGATGGTTAGCCTATTTTTTACTCAGCTTTTGTTGTTTAGAGAAAAATTTGCTTTTATTGCTATAAGCTTTACTAAGTTGGTTTTTTTTTTTTGTTTTTTGTTTTAGATGGAGTCTCCCTCTATCACCCAGGCTGGAGTGCAGTGGCGCAAACTCGACTCACTACAACCTCCGCCTCCTGGGTTCAAGTGATTCTCCTGCCTCAGCCTTCTGAGTAGCTGGGATTACAGGTGTGTGCCATCACACCTGGCTAATTTTTGTATTTTTAGTAGAGATGGGGTTTCGCCATTTGGTCAGGCTGGTCTCGAATTTCGGACCTCGTGATCTGCCCGCCTTAGCCTCCCATAGTGCTGAGATTATAGGCGTGAGCTACTATGCCCGGCCAGCTTTACTAATTTGAAAACAACTGCCCTCTGGAACAAATGGAGACTTGTTTCACATCTCTTTGAACAATCTGTTAGGGAACGCCTTGCTCCCTGTTCAGTCAGTGTACTTGCCTGATAAATATTTGTTGAGGTCCTATCAGTTTTAAGTACCATGCCAAGTGCTTATCTACACAGAGCCAGTGTACATTTTCCAATCATTTCTGCTGGGAGGACTTGTTGTGTTACTTTCTGTTGTTGTTGTTTTTGAAACAGGGTCTCACTCTGTCCCCCAGGCTTGACTCGATCACAGTGCAGTGACTCGATCACAGCTCACTGGTCTTGACCTCCTGGGTTTAAGAGATCTTCCCACCTCAGCCTTCTAAGAAGCGGGATCCATGCCCTGCTAATTTGTTAAATTTTTTTGTAGAGATGGGGTCTTGCAATGTTGCCCAGGCTGGTCTCAAACTCCTGGCCTCCACCAGTCCTCCTGCCTCAGCCTCTCAAAGAGCTGGGATTATAGCCATGTGTCACCATGCCTGGCCTCTTTGTGTTACTATTAATGATTATTTCTGCTGGTGAGCACAGAAGGTCTCTAAATTTTTAACTTACGGCATTCAGAACAGCACAAAAATCAATGGGAGAATCTGCCCCTTAT